GGGGTGCACTGAGGGCTGTACTAGACCTGGGCTTGCTGCCATCCTCAGAGCCCCCATGCCTTCCTTCAGCTCCCGGCCAGTCTGGCATTCAGCAGGTGTTGACCTGCACGTAAAGGAAGTAGCAGTTACAAGAGGAGCCCTGGGACACTTGGCATATTCAAGATGCCTGGACAGACAGGATCTTGCAGATGGGGACATCTTATAGATGGGGAAGGAGAGGGATTTGCTCAAGTACACACAGTGAATTGGTGGCAGAATGCCAGGTGTGGCCTAGACTTAGCAGGGAAGACTTTGGGGTGGGGCATGGAAGAAGGGGTGTCTGGAATACAGGAGAAGGCAGGAGCCAAGGCTGAAGGCTCATGCTGGGCACTTACCATGCACACACATTACGCTTCAGTGTCCCATCGTACAGATGAGGGAGGCTGAGAGGATGAGTCACTTCCCTGGAGTCAAGCAGGTGGACAAGCAGGTGGACGTGAGTGGCTCAGGCTGATCGTGGAGGTAGAGGGGTGGATGGAGGTCCAGCTGGAATGTCACTGACCTGTAGGCAGGACGATGGCTCAGGAGTCCAGACTCAGGACTCCAGCGGGTAGGGAGGCATCAGGGGTACCTCACGGAGGGTCTGCTGCTGCCGGATGTTTTTGGAAGGATCTGCGTTCCCACTGGAGTGCTGTCATGGATCCCAGGGTTGAGTGTCTTTCTGTTGGGTCACCTTGGCCTGTGGGGCTTGGACATTTTCACAGGGTGCACCAGGCGGGGCAGGTTAACGCATCTGTCGAGACACTGGCATTCTATCAGCAAAGCTGCCTTCGTGAATTTGCTGCTCTGGGCTGCTGCTTCTTAGCTTGGAGGCTATGCCCAAATTTTATCCAAGGGCTTTGTTTTTCAAGGATACCCCACACATTCCCATTGCTATCGAGTCGAGTCCAATTCCTAGTGACCTTGTAGAACAGAGAACTGACCCATAGGGTTTTCAAGGCTGTAAATCTTTCCAGAAGCAGACTGCTACATCTTTATCCCACAGAGCAGCTGGTGCCTTTGAACTGCTGACCTTTCCAGTCACAGCAGAGTGTTTTAACTAGTGCACCACCAAGGCTCCATGTTTTAAAGGTTATGGGCGATGAGATGGGATGTTTTCCAGCTATAGTACTCTCTCTGTAACTCTCCTTCATCTCAGAACTGTGTGTGTGTCCCATCACCGCGGTGATCGATGGATGGCAGGGGTGGGCCTGGGCTCGGGTGAGCCCTGACTGTGAAATGTTCTAGGAGGCAGCTCTCTCAGCTGACACAGAACTCTGGGGAGGGAGGAGGAACGGGGCAGGAGCACAGAGCTGGTGTGGCAGTGGGGCTGGGGATGGTATGCATATCAGAGAACATAACTAATAGTTATGGGAGGTGAGCTTTGGTATGTAAACTTGACCCTAAGGAGAACGTGAGCCCTTCCTTCCTGCTGAGTCAGTGCAGGAGTGTGGGAGGAATGCTGGCTGGAGGCCAGCCCATCTGGAATGGCCACATGCCACCTGAGTGACCGTGGGCTTCAGTTCCCCCTGAGAAGCCGTGGCCTTAGAGCAGTTGTACCTCTGCTGCTTTCTCCTGTTAGCTGGAGACTGTGAGCAGCTTGTCCCAGGCCTCAGTTTACCCATCTTTGGAAGGATGGGGTCAGTGATGAGTGGTGGCAGCAGCTAGGATCTCTAGTACTTGTTGACAGAGCTCAGTGTGAATCCTTATTGGACCCTCATCAGCACCTTGAGGAGTGAGCACAGATAGCCCCAGCCTACAACGAGTTCCATGCTGACCCCCCATTCTAAGTTGGTTCTGACATAATTTAAATACATGTATATATATTTTAAAGGATGTAAGTGATGAGATGGGGCTTTTTCTGGCTATAGTACTCTCGTGCAGCTCTCCTTCATCTCGGAACTGTGTGTGTGTGTGTGTGCGCGCGTGTGTGTGTGGGGCCCATCACCGCGGTGATTGATGGACGGCAGGGGTGGACCTGACTCTGAAATGTTCTAGGAAGCAACTATCAGCATTTGTCTTGGGGTGTTGGAAACATTACATGTGAACTGCAGCTTCAACATTGGCACTTGCTGCTTCTCCAGTTATACACACACTACATAAACGAAAAAAGAAAAAAACACCATAAACCAGCCCAGATGGTCCTAAGTGTAGTTCATCATAATTCAAATCCGTTGTAAGTCGGGCACCATCTACATGCCATATTTTACCCCTGAGGAAATTGCACACACAGGTTTAGGAAGTTGTCTGGAGTAACTAGCTAACTAGCCAGCTGAGGCTCACTTCCAGGGCCCTGATTTGAACCACTGTGCAGGGTGGCGTCTCCAGGGCCTGTCAGCCCTGGTACCCTGTGGCGTTGGGTGGTCATCAACTTCCCCTGCACGGCCTGCTTAGGCCTGACTGAGTGAGGAAGTTCTGCCCTCCACATCCCTCTTTCCATAAGCTCATGTGGTGGCTTTTGCGGGGCGTACTTTTGTGAGCAGGAACTTGGTCCAGTCTTGTGGGCCGTGGCCAGGATGGGGAGCAGTGTGCCTGCTTTCCCCACGGGCCTGTTAACTCTGTCTCGACTTACCCTTTCCTCAGACTTGGGCTTTATGTCTCCAGCAGGAATTACATTCTTACTCCCAGATGGAGGCTCAGCTCTTCCCGGACCTCAGATCCAAACACCCATTGATGCCAGGCCTCCCTTTGTAGCTCCCGCTGCCTCTGTAAGCCCTGCAGCAGTCGCAGAGGGCCTTACTCAAAACCCTACAACTACCTCTGGAACCCAGTAGGAAAACTGGTGATCCAGTCCAGGCTCCCGTGACAGAGCAGGAAACTGAGGCTTAAAAAGTCATAATCCTTTCGAGATTGTTTTTTTAAGTCACTTATTAAACGTGCAGCCACAATACTCCTGAGAAGTGAGGGTGCTGAGACTTCATCTCACGTACTTGGGACGTGCTGCTGGGGGGGGCCAGTCCCTGGAGGAGGATATCATGCTTGGTAAAGTAGAGGGTCGGCAATAAAGAGGGAGACCCTCAACAAGGTAGACTGACACGGTGGCAGTTGACAGGGGCCCAGACATGGCAGTGATTGTGAAGATGGCCCGGGACCGGCAGTGTTTCTTGGTGTTGTGCCTGAAGTTGCCGTAAGTTGGAACCAACTCGACAGCACCTAACAACAGCAATTAAATGTGAAGCTGCTTTGTGAGGCGGTGAGCTGCCCATCACTGGAGGCATCCAAGCAGAGGCAGCCAGCCAGCCTTGGGTTCTGGGGTCTGCTGCGAGCCTGAGCTTCCTGTGTGTCCCGATTCACTGCGACCTCCTGCCTTTTGCGCACAGTGTTGGTCATTAATTCTCCAGGACCCAGCCCCACTAAGGGAGTACCTGAAACCGAGTCTGAGTAGAACGGAGTCTGCTAGGGTGGCGGCTTCCTTTCTCGGTGCCAGCC